TCATGTCAAGTCCCCTTTGCTTTCAGAACCACTCCTTCCAACTGCTTCAGCAGCTCCCAGGGTGGGCACAGATCTCCCACCAACGTCAGGATCTTCTCCTTCCATCCCTGTGCTGCCCAGAACCTGCCTAGCCCATGGGAATTCATTTCACAGCTGGGTATAGAGATTTAGCCACCGTGGAGATAGTTCTGTGCCACACTCCTCCCTCTTGGTACCCCTGAGAGGATGCTCTGCCCAGCAGGATCCTTCTGCTCTGTGCCCCAGGGCACACTACAGCTCTCCTGCTCCTCACTCTCTACACCCCTCCAAACCACTGTAGATCAGGGAACTGTTTTCCTCAGGCACTGGGCTTGCAGGACAGGTCACACAAGTGTGGGGTGAGACATTTACACTTGGCTCTGAAATCATTCTGCTGCCCATTTAACCCCCACCCATGTATTATGGCCACGAAGCAGAAGTCCCTCATTTAAATGGTGACACACTGACTAGTGTCTCTAGCACAGGTTGTCCTCCCAGGAGACATTTAACAATTTTTTGTGGTCAAGAAAATATGCTTGTGAATGTCTGGTAGACCCAGAGAATTTTACCCTGGGTCAAACAACCATTTTTGAGAGGGGAAGATGAGTCTTACCTGTGTTTCTTTTCACTTCCTGAAGTCAAGTGGCTGTTAACAAACCCAAAGGAGGTTCCATTAAACATGAATGACACCCCCACAGCTCCTTTATTACCTGGAAAAAGATAAGCCAAAAATGTCAAGAAATCAATCCACCTCCAGGCTGAGTCTAACAAAGAGAATAAAGCACCTAGCACATCTTAAGTGAAGTGGAGGATGGAGAAGAGAAATAAGTTGACTTAATTAGCACAGAAAGAATCAGTACATACAGCACAGACTGCGGTAGCAAATTTTCTCAGGGTGCTAAAAAAGAATGAGTTGAAGGGAAAGAATTGCAATTTCCTTGTGAAACCCAAGAAAGAGCAATCCAATCCCCAGCCAGAGGTGTTTGCTGGGAACATAAATACACCTGTCCACAGGCACCACGCACACACACAAATCGATCTCCTCTCTTACAGGGTAAGACAGAATCAGTGCCAGTGGGACATGAGTGTGGCACCACTAGTGGGACGTAAACACAGCTCCTTGTTGAGGAGGAGCTGTTGCTGCTGAAGCAGAGCAGTGGCACAGGCTGGGGAGGAGGCAGCCCCTGGGGCACTGGGCTCTGCTCCTCACCCAGCGTGTTGGCGATGCCCGTCTTCACGTTGGCCGTGCAGATGTGGCTGATGCGGTTCTCGTGCTCTGGCTTGGCCAGCACCACAATCCTGATGTTCCAGAGGGTGTGGATTGCTATCTGCAGGGATGAGAAGGTTGGAGGCTGTATTTCTGCACATACCTGTGGGGCTGGGCTGTAGCTGCAGCCTTCCTGACTCCTTCTGTACTACTTCTCCTACACAAATTTTCTTCCTGGATACGCTTTCAGTCGTTTAATCAGAGGTGGGAGGAAGGGCCCAGCTTTTTCTAGTGCTGTTTTCCAGTTAATCATTGGATTGCCTTGCTTGTACAAAATCCAGTTTCCTAATCACCATAATCACCAGGAAAGTCTTCAGCCCTGCCCTCCTACAGCCTTCCAGATATGTTTAGATGGGCTTCTTGACATCACTGAAACTCAGGAATGTCCAAACATGGTCTTAATAAGGTTCAGTTTCTTTTAAGATTGTGCCTATGTGCTGTGACCTCCTATTTTGAAAGTGCAGCAGCATGGGGGGAGATGGAGGCTACAGCTGTCTCAAAGTTTTACAGTCTCCTCCTTTCTGAAGGTGAAAATACCAGAGCTGCTTGACCCGGGTGCTCAGCATCTGCCCCTGCCCCCAGGCTGGCAGGCAGAGCAGCCTCAGGGCAGGGTCCCTGCTTTGGCAGTGGTGGAGGCCACTGTCCATAGAAATATGCCCATCTAGACAGCTCCAGGGCAGGATCTCATGGACCCACAGGTTCAGTTCCCTCTCCCTCATCTGAATGCAATGACAGTAAAGGGGGGGAAGCAGAGGAGGTGTAGGTAAAGTGCCACTAATTCCTCTGACTCTTTTATTTGCACATGTCCTCTCCTCACAGGCCTGAGTTCTGGGCCATAGGTGGAATAACCCCTCACCACTTTGAAGTTGATACTGGTGATTTCCTGCAGGGATTGCCTCAAGGTCTCCAGCCATTCCTTCTCCCCTTGGGCATCCTCCTGGGTGCCAATCACATAGATGTCATGAGGAATGTAGTCAGCAGTGTCATCACGGGTCTTCCCCTGCCCCTTGGAGAGAAACCAGGAGGTGATCTTCTTTGGGGGAGGTGCAGCACCTTTTATTAACAAATGAAACACCAAAGTCAGGGTAAGTTCTGTCACAGCCAGGATACAGACAACCCGTGGAGACAGAAATAACAGGCTTCACATTCTCTCTGTCCCATATCAGCTTCATATCAGCCAGGGCACACATATTCTAAGGTGATAACTCTACCTGACTCACTGATGAAGCAGTGACTCTGCTTTGACCACCTTCCTCTGTTTCATTAGCTGGCCAAGGCCAAGGCTAAGCCAAGTGTAAAGGTAGGGAGCTGTACTCCTGGCCTGCCACTGCCTTTACCTTACCCCTTCAGTATGACTGAGCACAGGGAGCTCAGCTTACAGCAGCTGAACCAGGCTTATCTCCCAGAATGGGAAAAAGAACTTAAATTCCTCTCTCCCCTATCCCCTTCTTAAATATTGCAGCTGCTCAGCTCTCTTCCCAAGCTGGACATGAGCAGTCAGGTTCAGAAGCAGCTCACATGCAGTTGTTGGAATTGCTCCTGCCCTTTCTGCAAGGGGGAAGCCAGGGCACACTGCTGCACCAGCTCTGTGCCAGCCCCAGCTCCCTGCCATCAGAGGAATCCTTCAGCACCCACAGGGCCAGCTTTCTGATGCTTTGACTGGACCCATGAAGAGTGTCAAACTGCATGCAAGAAGAAGCCTAGAGATTGGCTCTTACCCTGTCCAAGGGGAAGACACCCTTGCTGCAGAGATCTGCTACAGGACAAAGACAGTGTCTGGAGCTCATCATGGCAACTGAGCACAGGTTTTGGTAAGTGTCTGGAGGAGTGCCCATGTCAGAAGGGAGCCCATACCCATATTCCAGGTCCCAATGAAGATGGTGATCATATCAGGCTCTGGTTGCTCCGAGTGTTTATTCTTCATCTGCTGCAGAAGCTGGCAGAACCCTTCTCTCTTCTAGACAGGGAGGAGCAGAGACAATTAATGAGATGCTTAACTCCTCCAACATGACCTCCTGAAAAACTAGTTGAACCAGGAAATTCCCAGCACACTTGAAGGGCAGATTAGCTCTCCACCAGCCTGAAAGCTTTGAAGTGGCTGTCCTCCCTGTGGTACTTTCTTAGGCATTTAGCTTGTGCATTAACAAGTGCTGAGCTGGTCAGAAGTAAGCTTAGACTTCCCTCTTGTTTGTCTAGATGAATGTTTTTGCAGCTACCCTCACATGACTCCTTGCCTCTTCTCACTGCTTGCTGACACTGGTGTCCTGCCTCAGTGACAGCACCTAGGTAGGGTTGCCCTCTCCAGTATCTCCCTTTACACAGTTATTTTCTGTCTGTTTCCAGAACAACAGAGAAATTTCATTTTTGCAAAGCCAACCACCTTCCTCCAACAGTTCCTCCTTCTGCCCAGGCATACCCCTTGTGCCACTCCCACCCAGACACCTGCTCCAGCCTGGCAGGAAGGAAATGTTGTTGTATGTACCTTGGAATCAGAAAAAACATATTCTTTCCGTTGGGTTTTTTCTTTTTCTGTTTCCAGCACAATCACCAGTTTGTTAGGGACCTTCTGGGACTTGATCAGCTGCAAGACTGAACAGAGACTGAGTGTCATGAGCTGCAGTCACTGAAACTAGAATCCCACTAAGACTAAGAGGACCCTGCTCACAAGCTCAGGACTTAAAGTCTTTTATGTCTGAGGCTCACTTACTACATAAGTAGTAAGTACACATAACTCCATAACTACATTTTAATGTTGCTTAATCCTGTTCCCTATAGGAATAGATTCTCTGAAGTTCACTCTGAACTCAAGAGGACCCCTAAAACTCCTTCTGCCTGGAGCTCTTGTCCATCCCCTGCAGCCTGAAGTGAAGTCTTGGCTTCTTGCAAGCAATCTCTGAGCCAGCCTACAAATATTTCTTCCCCCTCCCTGAAAGAGGAGGTAAAAACCTCATTGGGTGGTGAGGTGATTCCTCCTCACCTAAAATAGCAGCTAATTGTGAACACCAGGTGGAGAAAGCCTGACAGGAAAGCTAATCTTTCCAGTCACTGCCAGCAACAGGCTGATTTGCTAGCAGGAGAGAGCCCAAGGGCATCGTTTACTCGCTGACAGATCCCACCCAGTTTGGCTCCATCTCAGTGACCTGCCTGTCCAGAAACACATAGGAAAAAAAAAAATTAGGAAGCTGTTTGAATTGGGCCTTCACAGACCAAACTGGCATTGCTCATCAGGAGTGATTCACATACTACCAAAGCAAAATAAAATCATTTAAAAAAAAAAAATTCAAGGGGAAATGAACTGAAAAATGGTACTGAAACTGTGTCTGGCTTTTTACCATGAAAAATCATCACAGAAGTCAGAATGTTCCTAGGGATTATTTTTTTTTTTGAGTCACATTGCTTTTCAGTAGAAAATAGCTCTGCTGCAACCAGCTCTGTGGGCAATCTTCTGTCAAAACCTGCTCCCTTGCAGTCTTGCTGCCACTGTCTTCACCCAAACCAGGAGGTGAGGTCTAAAACAGCCTGTGAAATGAGTTACCCCAGTGCTGAGTCCCTGCTCTCTGCAGGCAGCTTTGGGAGTAGGCAGTCTGGACTGACTGGAGCCTTGCACTGCATCCAGGACCTACCAGAAGTATCTGCACCCTGGGCCACACCCTGCCCTCAGTGGGGCCAAAGAGAACCCCTCCCCATCCTCCAAGGGACAGAGAGTCTAGTCCTGCATTTGTGACCTTAAGCATCTTACTTTTCTTGTGGGTGTAAAACTTGTCTTCTGGACCATCCTTAGCTCTCTTGATAATCAGTTTTCCCATTTCCACATCAACCTTGAGATGTATTTTTGAGAAAATCCCTAGGGAATCAGCTTTCACCTGTCAGAAAACAAAGAAAGTTTTCACAAACCATCTTCTACCCTTCAGGCACATGGATTAAAAATGCAACACTTGCCTGAGTTCATGGGCACACATCATCTCACGAGATGTCAATCTCACGAGACGTCTCTTAAACGTTTGCATGGTGCTAAACAGCATCCAGAAATAGCTGTTATCTCTGTGGCAGCACAGCAAAGCTCCCAGGAGCTGAGATACCCACATAAATCTGCATTCCTTTCCTTTCCACGCTGGGCTCAGCCTTGTTAAAGGAGTGCATTTACCTCAAAAGTGACAGGGGGGATGAGGGAGCGTCGATGTGTTGAATCAGGACCTTCAATCAGCAGCGTTTTCACCTGCAGGAGGGGGTGTGTCAACCAAACTGCACTTGGTGGTTCTGCACCACACTGAAAGGAATGCAGTCAGAGCAAAGAAATCTTCCTGCAGCAACAGATCGTGCTGGTGATGAGCAAGAAGCATAACCAGAGGCAAAAGACAAGAAGATACTATGAAATAGCTTTAAACCTCTACCTTTTCTTCAATGGAAGAGAGCAATGAAACCAGCTGGTTGAGTTTCAACACAATATTGACTGGACTGCCTTCACTCAGCATCTGATAAGCACAACATAGAAAGAAAAAGAGAGAGAGAGGCATAATTACCCAGCCCAGAGAGCAGGGCCTGGAAGTGCAGCAGTCTCACCCCAGAACACCTCACACCCCTCACAAGGAGCAGCCCCCTGCCCCTCTAATCCATAGTGGGCAGCCCGAGAGCACAGAGCTGGGCTGAACTTGCAGAAGGATGGGAGGGTGGAGGGACAAATCTCCAAACTTTGGCCATCAGTGGGAGGCAGCTGGGCATGCAAAGGAGTCAGCTTGCTCCTGGGGGCAGGTTTGTGTGACCAGATCCAGGGCTCAACACAGACATCCTGGACTTTTGGTTTTCTGGGCTACTGGCAGGGAGAGGAAGGTGATGGGTCTTAAGTGGGCTGGGGGGAGGAAAGGTCTGGCAGTGAAACATCCTGGAGTGAAGTTTATGGAAAGAGAAATGCACAGCCCTAGCCCAGGAGCTGAGGGAGGATGAGGAGCTGGAAGTCCTCAGGCAGTTTGCTGCACTTTTCTCTGGGGAAGGATGGGGGAGCAGGCAGAGGGGACTATGGGGTGAGTGAAACTGTGGGGAGATAACTCACTGTGTGCCCTCTGCACTGCAGCCAGAAAGTGGCTAGAGAGAACAGAAGCAGTGACTGATCACCTGAACCCCAGGGGTCTCTGCTGTGCACCCCCAGCCTGTCCCCCCCCATGCTGCAGCCCCCCAAGCTCCTCTCTCCTCCCCCCACCTCCCTGCCAGCTCACCTGGGAGCGCTGCTGGATCCCGGGGGGCAGCTGCTGCTCAAACACCTTCTGGATGGACTCCAGGGAGGGGAGAGTCCTCGAGGCCTCGCTGGGAACAGAGGCAGGGCAGAGGTCTGAGGCTGGGTCCCTGGGTGGGTTGGCACTTGGGCCCCTTGGACAAAACCAGGGTGCAGAGACCACGCGTTCCCCCCACGCCTGCCCTCTCCACGTGCCGCGCTCCTGTCCTCCGAGCTGCTGGGCTGGGGGATGGCAGCATTCCTCAGCTGCCTCAGCCCCACTGCCAGCCAAGCAGCTGCCCTTGCCTTGCACTTTGAAGCACAGCCATGCTGGCTGCTCCTCAGCTCTTGCTTTGGAGGTGCATCATCCTAAATCTCCCCAGGAAGGCGTCCCAGTCTGGGCCAGACTTGACCCTGTCCAAAGGCAGCATCAGCTCAGCTGTGCCAGCTCACAGAACAAAGGGCACTCAAAAATCTCCAAGCCCAGCAATGCTGGGTGCCTGTGGGTGCCACAGCAGCAGGGGCAGCTCAGCTTTGCACCCATCCTGAGCAGCTGCTGAGGCTGAGGCAGGGTGCTGTGGATACGAAGAGGAAACTGATTTTTAGACTTTTCAGCTCACGTGGCAAAGAGGAGCAGCCAGGGGGTGAGAGGCAGCCTTTAATCTCCCAACAGACACCATCTGTGGGTCATGGTGAGATTCCTTCAGTGTTCCCCAAGTAGGTTCCACAGGATGCTCGTTGGTCAAAATGCTGCTGTGGGAATTTGGCACAGAAGCCAGGCTCAGGTAAAGACTGGCCACAGAAAGCAGCCAGGGAGCACAGGTCAAAAGGAAGGTGGTGGTGGGGACCAGGGAGATGGAGGGAGAGTGGTGGGGAGAGAGAGATGCTTGCATTGTGCCCAGTCAACAGTGGATAGGAATGATTTCCCTCACTTTCCTCAGCCTGAGTGGACTGGATTTTACTCCCTGTTTGTTGGGCAAAGTGCTCCAAAGTATGCCTCACTGCCTGAAGATCAGATATTTGTCTAGGTGCTGAGCCATAGATTATTAATTGCCTAAATTAAGTGCTTATGTTTGAAATTTCAGTCTGCAGGACTTGCCACGGGGCACACAGAAGTACAAGACACTTGTAGGAATCTGGATCTGCTAAACTTAGCCCTCCAACACCACTCTCCAGCACCTAGAGTCAGTGTCACTGGAAGTGGCTCTGGCCCCAAAGCCAAGACTCCCCTGGATCCCCTGCAGCCAAGGAGTCAGGTGAAGCTCAGTCTGAAGAGAATGAAAGGACATTTACTGGGACCAAGAGTGCAGGATTTGTAGGCCACCTCTCAAAACCAGCCCAGCAGCTGCCTAAAGCAGCTCAGAAATGCTCTCTCCCTGGAGAACTGCCCTCTTCTTACTGCACAGTGCAACGTGCAGCAGACATGTGAGGATGGGGGAAGAGCCTCTGCAGGCATTCAGACTCAGCAAGACCACAAAGTGGTTTTAATTGCACTTGTAACTCCTTTTGTTTTCTTCTCTTGATAGTGTAAATGAAATATATGTAGTGACCTTCACTGAAGTGTCAGAAGCCTGGGTGTCCACATCTAAGTGCTGATATAAGTGCTTGAAAAGCTGCCTTAACAGCTCTGTGTGCAAATTACCCAGTGAGGTGGAATAAAGAGGAGCATGCAGGGCAGTGATGGGTGGCCAAGCAGTGGCCTCAGAGAGCAGCAGGCTGAACAGGCCACTGTTGGTGTTTTTCACTTGGAGCTGGTAGGAAACTCTGAACCACTCGCCTGGGTAGTCCCTGCTTTGTGCTGCACTGGCATCCTGCTCTCCATGAGTCAGCTTTCCAGCACCTGGAGGGTTCCCCTGACCAAGGAAACACTTGTATACCAATTTCTTTCAGCACTGAATGTTTCACAAGTACTATCAGCCTTGCAAGTCTCTGTTTTGTTTCATTTTTAGTCTATGAGCTGCCAGGGTGAACAGCCTCTCCCAAGAGTGGTTGCCCAGCTTCCAGCAGAGTAAAAGCAGCCCTCAAGGTCCCTAATTCACACTGGGATCTGATCCTTGCTGAATTAGTCAGGGATCAGTGGTGAGGAGGGTGAGGGGAAGAGATCTCAAACTCTGCCCTCCCGCTCTGCTGCGGCCCAGCTCTGCTCTGCCCTTGCTCAGAAATGGGCCCTGCCCCTCTCCGTGGCAATACCTGGGCTGCAAAAGGCACAGGCTGTTCCCAAACAGTTGGCCCAACTCCCTTCCAACCCCATGTTCAATGCAGAAGCATCTTCCCTTCCCCTGATCCCTGAGCAGCTCCGGAGCACCCCCTCTGCCTTCCCCACGCTGGCAGGCAGTGTGGTTTCCCAACAGAGATCCCCCAAAGGGCATCAGGCTGCTGGTGTTTCACAGTGGTGGCAGTGTCTGGGGGACCCTGAAGGATGCCATGGGTGGGTTCTGTGAGGCTGCAGGAAGCCAGAAGACAGCAGCACAACCCCAAATCTATGGGCTCACAAGCAGCCGGGGTGAGCTCAGGCACAGCAAGTGTCTGCCTGCACACTCAAACCCCACACACTGCCAGGAAACTCAAAGGAGCTTCAGCTCCACTGAAAGAGCCCAAGATGTGCCAATCAACCTTTTTCTTCTTTCATTTAGGAACATAGTCTCAAATATTGAGAAAATAATGAAATTGAACAGAAGTAAGAAAAAACCACTGAGCAGCAGCCCAGGAATTAGCTGTACGTTCATCTGGAATCCCTGCACAGCTGAAGAAAGCTTGAGGTAAATAAAAACTAAATTTAGGTAGTGCCACTGATTAAATTTGGGTTCATGAGTCTGCTAAGGGAAGGAAGCTAAAGCCCCAGCCCACCTTGGAGACTAAGACTGCAGAAACCAGTGAGATACTCAAGCCAGCTAGTAGCCAACTGAAGCAAAGCACATTCTTTGGTTGGATGGTGATTCATGGGGCAATCTGAGCAGAGGTGGAGAGGTTCCTCAGAGACATCTGACTGGGAAGTAATGCAGGTAGGGGGAGAAGGTGCTGGGGAAGGGGGAAAGAACTGCCTGAGGAGATACATTTGCACAGCAACATGCAGGCAGCAGAAGGACAGAGGGCAGGCAGCTTGGCCTTTGCTGTGGTGCTGCTCTGCTCAGCAGGCTTCCACCAGCAGAAGAACAGGCTCAGCTCTGCTCTAGGATGACACTTTGCAAAGTCCAGTCACCCAAAAACCCTACAGAAAATCTGGAAATGTAAAAGGTGTCCTGGCACTTGAGAAGGTTGTGGACCTGTTGCATCTCCTTTACTGCCATCCCATGTACATTTATGAGGAGTAGGGTTGTGAAACCAAGATAAGGTGAAGTAGAATAAGAAGCTGGGAATGGCAAAAGCCAGCCACCATCAGAACAGCAGCACTTGAGGGTTTTTAACACAAAACTCTCACTTTCATTAGATTTTAGTTTCCATTGTTCAGGTTTATTCTTAGCTGGCCACCTGGGTCTCCCCCTCTGTGGGTGTAGAGAAGCAAAACCCTCAAGCAGGGCATGGAGGAAGGGCTGCTCTTTGCACAACCCGTTCCCAGTCCTGCCAGGGGCTTGTCTGTGGGCACCTGGCTCCTGGCAGAAGGAGCAGGGCTGCATATTCCTCCCCCTTTGCCTGGTAAAAGGTGCACAGTGCCCACCACATCAGAGAAGCTATCGTGGTCCCAGGCAGATGAGCACCTCACTCACTCCCTCCTGCCCTCCAGGGGTGAACACCAAGAAAATCAGCATCCACCCCTCATTGGAGCCCTTTCTTCAGCCTTGGTGAGCTCTAGGAGAACAGGATCAGGCCACTAGCACTACCAGCCTCACTTATATATACCCTGGAGAAAGGGATGTTGCAAACCACAGATAAAGGTGTGGAAGTATGAGCCCTGTGCCACAGAGTGCTCTAAGATTTCTGGAGGAGCACAGACTGATCTCTTCCTCCTCCTCCTTGGTTACAAGCAGGGAAATCACCTCCCTCCACCAGAGAAAGGGGGAGTTCTGCAAGCTTTTAGTTCCCTACCAGAGTTTTCTGATTTGAGACCTGGAAGGTTTATAAGTAGGAAAGGTAAAATCTGTAGAGTCTTGGCTTGTTTCTCTTTTCATCTGAGTTGGACCTCACTGACATCAGTGGAACCACTCCAGGCTCACAGTGCATTAGTGGGAAGGGAAATGAGTGTTTAAAACACAGCCATACACCAATGTGTGCTTGTTTCCATAAAGGATGTGTGCTTGACAACTCTGTGGGTGTCATTTCTGCATTACCAAATTATGCACTTAATAGGTTAGTGCATTTTTTGTTTCGTTCCTTTCTAAACAAAGCCTAAAAAACCCCTAATACTCCATTCCCTGAAACCACCTCCAGGAGAACCTCCCTGTCAGAGCTGTATCTTTCATACAGATTTCACATCTCAGGACCAGAATCACAGGTCATGAGACACAAAGATCATGGTTTTGAGGGGAAGAAACTCTCCTGTGCCAGAAATGCAGGTTCTGAAGGCATCCCCGTGGGATCTATGTTAGACTGCAGTGTTACAGCATCATACTCTGACCTCTGCAAACCAGCCCCTAGTTACCTGAAGAGTCCTTTGCAAAGGAGTGTGAGGAGTTTCTTCAGCTGAGGAAGACTGCTTGAGCCAGTCTGCACCATCTCAAAATCAGTGATAATGTGGACTCGCAGGTAGTCCTGGATAAGTTTGAGATGCTCGTCAGAGACACTGTGAAAGAAAAAGACAGGTCAAAAGCCACCTCTTCTCCCTGCTCCCAAACATCAGACAACTTTCTTAGTTTTCTGACACTTCCACGGCCAGCACAGACAGTTGCAGGGGTGTTTGCCTTGGATTTCAGTGTACATAGGCAGTTCTCAGAACTGGACCGTGGGTCCCACCCCACTCTGCTGACACCTTCTCCTCTTCCCCCTTCTGAACCCCAGATCCTCTCCTTTCTGACTGATGAGCTACCATGCCAGGGAAGTCTTGTGATGGAAGTCTTTGCCAAAGCCACAGTGGCATCATTAGCCCTGGCAGGCAAAGCCAGGCTGCTGTGAGGCCACCAACAGCCAGCAGCTCAGGGCCTCTGGGCAGATGAAGACTCCCTTTCATCCCCCCAGGTGCCACCTTGAAGGTTTTATTCCAAACCACTGAAAACAACCTTAGCCTGAGACCACAGAGCTGCACTGGGTGCTCCCTGTGCTGCCCAGGCTGCAGCAGCCTGAGGAAGGATGAGCTGGGCAGGCTGTATGTGCTGTCCTGAGCCCTGACAAACACTGAAAGTCCCAGCTGGCTGCTTAGCAGATGAAATGGTGCAGGCAGCTGAACAAAACTGGGTTTCTCCCAGTCCCCCAGCTGCTACCAGGCTGCCACAACAAGACCCCTGCTGCCATGCAGGGCCACTGCTCACTCCCAGCCTCCCACTGCTCTGCCAACAGGCAGGACTCCTGATGGTGTTTTTATTTTGAAACTTTGCAAATCTGATCATTAAATGTCATGTGGCTTCCTCCAGGGCTTCAGGGCATGTCTAGATTTGACCCAGCTAGCACGTGGGACAACCTGAGTCAGACCTACAGGGGAGTAAATCAGGGAGTACCTGGAAATCCAGGCACAAGGTTCATTCTTTTGGAGGACTGGCTGGTGCTTTCTGATACAATCTGTAGTTTAGGCACATGGCTAATACACCAAGTTCTCTCAGATTTTTCCATCTTTTTTATTAGGAAACTATACCTCAGTGGAGAAAGTCTAGTGGTGGGTTTAATACTTCAGAAAGTGTCTTTTTTTTTCTAGATGACAGCTGGACTGTAAAGAGTAGCCAATGGTCTGGTTCTGTTCTACATCTGGGAGCATAGATGAGGAGTAGTTTCACTGAATCAAACAGGTCCTCAGCTGTCCCAAAGAGAGGCCCAGAAAGCAGAGAGCTGGGCTGAAGGCTGATCATAGAATCATAGAATCCTTTAGGTTGGAAGGGACCTCCAAGATCATCAAGTCCAACCCTTGAGCCATTAGGGCTCTAAAGTCCTCTGCTAAAACAGATCAGAATCTGTCAGGGCTGGAAGGGACCACAAGGATCCCCCAGTTCCAGCCCCTCTGCCATGAGCAGGGACACGTCCCACTAGATCAGGCTGCCCAGAGCCTCCTCCAGCCTGGCCTTAAAGACCCCCAGGGATGGGGCCTCAACCCCCTCCCTGGGCAACCCATGCCAGGGTCTCACCACTCTCCTGGGGAAGAACTTCTTCCTCACATCCAGCCTGAATCTGCCCACTGCCAGCTTTGCCCCATTCCCCCCAGTCCTGTTGTTACTCCTAAAAAGTCCCTCCCCAGCTTTCTTGTCTGCAGCCCTGTGACTCCCCATCCTCACCTGCTTGTGTCCTGGTACTGCAGTCGCTGGAGTAGTGTCTCAGAAAGGGACAGTTTACTGACATCAGCCACCCTGGAGCTGTCAGGGGGAGGAGAGCTCTCCTTCGTCTCGCTGCTCAGCAGTGCCACGGGGATGTTGCGTGGGGGCAGGATGGGAGGGGTGGGCACCAGGTCTGGCAAGGAGGAAGGGAAAGGCACCGTGAGCCCAGCACGGCACTGTGACCTCCTCCCCCTGCCCCACGAGCAGGGCAGAGGCTGCACTGCAGTGGCAGCCAGCACAGAAACCACCCTCTGACTGCAGAACTGCAAAGTTCTGGGCTCGGCACGGGCCCAGGCCTGTCCTGAGGGATGTCAGTGGTCTGAGAGCAGCAGGCTGAGCTGCCAGGCCCAGGCCTCACGTGCAGGCAGCAGATGGCTCTGCCCAGTGGTGTAACCTCACCCGAGTCACTCAGACTCTCCCAACTGCACAGCAGCTAGGAAGGTTAAGGAGTTACTGAGAATATGATGCTTAGAGAGCATAGCTGTGCCTCATCCCTATCATTACCATGGAGTTCTGCTGCTGGGGCAGAATGGATGGAGGGGGATGATGGAAAGAGCACCAGAAGCCAGGAATGGAAAGAAGTGACCAGCTAAAGTAAGCCAACACAGATGGAGAAACTCAATTTCATAATGCAATAGAGGGGCTGAGTATCCTGCCTTGGCTTGTGGGCATCAAGTTTGAATCACAAGGGGTCTTCCTGCTCTGTCATCCCACTGCTCAGCACACCTCCCTCTCCTGGGAGAGGTGTGGGTTCATCCATTTATCCCTACCACAGTTGCCTTTCTTTTCATACCAACTGCTCCAACACTTTGCTACACCTGCCATAGGTAGCTGGTTGAGTTGTGAAGTTTTGTTTGGTTATTTCCTAATGGTGGAATTTTCATTACAAAGAGATCCACAACTGATCTGTTGCTCCTGGGCAGAAGCTGTGACTCACAGAGCCCCTGCAGCACTGAGCAGTGGCCCAGCTGAGTGGTGCATCTGCAGGAGAGCTGGGTGCTCATCTGCCACCTCTGCAGCTCTCTGTGTAAGATGGCCAGACATCTATCAGCCCTACATGGTTCCAGCACCATTGCACCAAGGTGCCTTAACAAAATTAAATTCTATATGTGAATAGCCCAGCCTCAGTGTTAATCTCTTCATCTAAAGTCTCTTAGTCTTGGCTAGAACTTCATTCCCTGCTGCTCGCCTCGCTGTGTATTATTTTTGCTGTAGTTCCCTCCCCCGCCCTGAGAGCTGGAGACTTGGTGCAGCTGGCCAAAAAACAGGAACATCTTTCCTGAGCAGCTTTGCAGAATTTTGTTCTGTTTCAGGAGAGCTGCATAGCAAAACCTTCCAGCTCCTCTTAGACATTCGTTGGGTTGCATAAACGTAGGCAAGGCACATCAATCTGCCTCTGCACGTGCCTGCTGGCCTGACACAGGGCTCTGTCCTCAGAGAAGCTGTGCTGGAAAGCTCATGGTTTCCTGACAGACGTCAGGAAGGACAGGAAGGATGGCTCTGTGGGCATGACCTTCCCCTGGGATGCAGGAGAACAATGACAGATCCAAGGGATGATCTGGGAAAAATCCAAGGGACGATCCAAGACCAGCGAGTGTCAGGAACCCACAGTGACATTTCATATCAAATAGCTGGGATGCTGCCAGTCACACAGTTTCATCATACATCTGCTTCTATGCACAGGGTTAGACTGTCTGCCACTGTGGGATCTGTGCTCTCTGGTTATGACTAACAGAAGCATCCCCTGGATCAGAGCAGCTAAGGGGGGACTGAGTTTCAGCTGACCCAAGACCCACAGCAGCTGCAGAAACGTGGCACTGCAGAGAGCTGTGCTCCAAGTCTCCAGGGGAGCACCTCTGCTGCTGAGGCAGAGGCCCTATAGAGACTTTGGAGGGGGCTGAACATAAACAAACTTGAGACAAGATGAAGCACAACAGATCATTCAGCTCTGCACCTGATACAACCCACTTCTGCAGACAGCCTCAGTGGATTCCCTTAGGTGAGCTAGAATGGTGCTCCAGCTGTGGGAGTGCCCCAGAGCCACAGTGACTCAATGCCTCAAGGACTTGCCACCTAGGGTTCCCCTGTGCCCTGCTCCACTTTACTGCACACATGCCCTACCCCCCTGCCTGCAGGGCACATCTCCAGTCCAGAGCAAGTGTTCAGGCTCTGCCTCACCAAGCCACATCATGGGTTTCTTACCAGCATCTTCCTCTGGTTCATCTGCAGCCTCCTCCTCTTCCCGTGGCACTGGATATCTGAGGTGCCATACCAGACCCATGTTCTCCTTCTTGTAAAATTCTATCAGTTCTTCCAAGGTCTCAAAATACTTCACAGGGACACCCTCTGATGCCTGAAACACAACACAGAGGCTGTCACGGCGTGGGATTTTCTACCACAGGAACACTGCTCCTCACCAAAGGGAAAACAAAGTCATGGAGAGAGGAAAACCCACTCCTGGTGTCCAGAGAAAGCTCTCACTGCCCATCTGACCACAGCCTCCGTGCAGAGCAGCTCCAGCAGCACAGACAGAGACAGACACACACATTCCAGCCAGTGTCAGCAAAAAATGGCAACCTCCAAGAGTCACTGGAGCCAAAGGGAAGAGCTCTCGTTTGATTCAGTCTGCTTGGCTCCAAAGCAAAGGAAGACTTGAAAAAAAAACAAAGAATTTTCTCCTGGATTGATTTTTGCATTCCCTCTTTTACTGAGCACAAAACCCCTGGACTGTGTTACATTTTGTGGTATCCAGGAAGAATTTTTTTCTGTGAAATTACAAGATAAACATGTCTAAATCTTGTTAAGAGGTTAACATCCCTTCCAGGATTCAGAGGCTCAGAAGTAGGTTCAAAAGGAACAAGCCTAGCAAGGTACTGTCACATAAAAACTGCTGGGATGAAGGTTGAAGGGGTTTGAGGCTCAGGGGACAGTTAGGACTGGGAATGTGTAGGGTGTGACACACCAGCTGAATTCTAACTGTCACTAAACCTGTTCCTAGCACAGCTCCAACCACTCATCTCAGGAAACGGATACTTGCCAAGGGCAAACACAGGGAGAAGGTTTTAGAGGTCTTCAGAGGCAAAGCTTTAGAGCAATTAAATCTGCTGGATTCACCAGGCAGGAACAGTCCTGCCAAAGACAGAGAAATTGCCACAGCTCAGCACAGATCTCCTGACCAAGAGAAAGAGCTCTGCATTACCTCCAGAGCTGTGCTTAAGTACCATCCAAACCCAAGGCAACAGCAACACGTAACCAAAGCTCTGATCACTTCATGGGGCAAACTGATTTTCTTGCCATTTGTTTCTGCCCAGTTTCTTTTACCTGTGAACTTTTTTTGTCTAAAAGGCAAATGCAGCAAACTCGAGAGGTTAAAGAGGAGAAGTTCCAGCATAAACCACAGTGAGCAGTAGGATGTCTTCAGTGAGTCTTAGCAAAACAAGATTTCTTTTTAATTTTCCTTAAAGAATAAAGTCTCAGGCCAGAAATTAGGACAGTGCTTTCAATACTGAACCATTGGAAGCCTTCAGTGCCCTCAGGCCTGCCATCAAAACCACCTATCACTTCTAACTAGACCTGCATGTCTTCAAAGGCCCAGCAAGAAACATTCTCTGAACAAATCTGTAGGACAGTTTCTGAGAGCTCTGCCTGCCAAGCCTCCTGTTCTGTCTCCCAGGTGTTGCTGCATTTCTCAAGATTTATTATACACAGTTAGGCAAACACTAGATTCTATTTTCATGAGGCCAGAGGTGTTGAAACAAATCCCTGGTTAAAATTTCCCATGTCCCTAACAGGGTAGCTGAGCCTGCACTGCTAGAGCAGCACAACCTCAGCATCACTGGAATGACTTCTGATTTACACCAATTAATGCACATAGCATCTTGGTCCTCCCAGATGCTTCTCCTTCTTGATGCCAATTGAAGGCTGGGAATCAAGGAAAACTGTCAGGGAGAAAAAGTACTCAGCTCTAATCCATCAAAGGCTGTCCTGAAATCAGAGTGCTGCACTGGGACAGACCTGGGGTAGTTCAGCCACATGCTTCCATGTTTCTCTAATCATCTTCCCTGCTCTGAAATCTTCATTTTTGTGATTATTTAGGCAGCTGTGACCAGCCATCTCCCTGGCAGCAGGCTCAGCCTTCGTGCCCAGCCCATGGCAGTGTTCATCCTCTGGTTTCAACCTGCCTGGACTGCCTTCCCTCACCACCTGCAGCACCCCTAGGTGGGCTGGAGCTCATGAGAGAGGAGGTTTGTGGTAGCTTTGCCCTGAGCCACCCTGGAAAAAGGCATCAGCCTCATCAGAGTGCACAGTCAGACCCTAACCCACATTGAGAGTCAACAGGCTGGTCAGGGTTAGCCAGCTGCATCTTTGCAGGAGGAAAGCTTTGCCACCAGTGCTCTCTCCCACCTCTTGAATTAATGTAGCCTACCCTGCTCCTCCTCTTTCCAAAGCTGTCTTCACACTCCTACTTCACTTTCCAAAGATCTCCCTGTCTGCCTGCTTCCCCAGAACCCCCTGACTGCTGCTTGTCCCCACAGCCCCTCATCCCTCCCACCCCCAGTGCCCAAACTCTGCCTTCCCAGGTGGTTTTGCCCCTCAGCTCCTGCTCTCCCAGGAAGAGGGGTGCCCTGCATGGCTCTTTTCAGGCCGAGCCAGGCCCTGGGGTGAGTGGGAGGAAAGGCTGAACTGGCACTTTTTCCTGCCAAGGATAGTTCACTCTCTGAAACTGTGCTGGTCTCTGTGGTAACCAGAAGAAGAAGCATTTTGCAACAGGCCTCCTTCCTCTAACTCACTGCACTGCATCTCAAGAGTGGACTGAAGCCTGTGAAGCCAGCTCTGATCCCCTGAGTGGCCAGCTCAGATCCCCTG